AAGAGAGAAACTTCCCAAGTTTTGCACTTGAAAATTTGAGTTATAAAGTTGAGTTCTTTTCAATTGGAGACTCCAAGCATGTGAATTTCCATAATCTCATCCCCCAAACTTGTTCAATAACCTGGCCAAAATCAAAGAACAACAATTTATAAACCAAAATACTCAACTAATCAAATAAATTTACCTATTAGTGAGATATGAATTTCTCCACATTAATGCATCAACCTGGGCCATAAAAAGAAAATAAATTAACATGAAACCTAAGCTATTAATATAAAAGAAAAATAAATAACATAAATGAAAATTTTATGCTTGGGTTGCCTCCCAAGAAGCACTTAATTTCAAGTCATAAGCTAAACTTTCTACCACTCTAAGGTGGTTTTGGATTAGGTCATAGGGCATGTTCTCTCGTTTTCTTGAATCTTGGCTTTTTTGCCCTTAAATTGAATCCACCATAAGATTTTCTCCATGTACTATTTTGCGGTGGTTTGGGTTTAGGCCAAAAGATGTGCCTTCCCAATTTTTCTAGGATTGCCCCTTTGATTCCAAGTAAGATGAGGATGTGTTCAAGCAATTTATGTATTCTTTGATTAGCTCCATTGCTTGAATAAGATAAATCTCAAGTGGATCCTCATAAGTGTTTTCCTGCAAAATCTCATCAACCATATCAATAAGAAAATATTCATTAAAATCAGATTTGACTAATGGAGACTCCCCATTGAACACTTCAATTGACGCTTGAGCTCTTTCCTCTTCTTCCTTAAGAGACATCCTCTTGTTTAGTTTCTGCAGGTATGCTTTCTAATTCTCCAAGTTGTCCTCCAATCTCCAAAGATAAGGTGTTTTCCTCTTCTTCTTGATGTTTCATTGTTGCACTAGATAACTCATCTTGTATTTCTTCAGCAACTAAGTTGAGCAAATTATATCGTTTAAAATAGCAATCATGATTGAAATGATCAAATCCACACCATTCACATGTGATATTTAATCGTTCTACTAAAGCCCTCTTTAATTTGATCTTTTCAATGACTACTTGAAATCTTTCAAGTTCATCATCATCAAGTTCTGCTTCCCAATTGATAGTTATTGCTTCAACTTGTGCCCTTATCTCTGGAGCAAGCCAATGATAACTCACATAAGTACCTATGGCACCTCGATCCATAGTTAAACCTGCAAAAACAAAAACAAAGAAACCAGAAAAAAGTCAAAGTAAAGAAATAAAAAAAAAACGTCCAAATTAAATCTAGAATTAATCAACTTTGATATTTAATTAAATTCAACAATCCCGGGCAACGACGCCAAAAACTTGATGCACTAAAATCACCTTAGCAAGTGGACTAGTCACTCCAAGTAATATAATGATGAGAGAGTGTCGAACCCACGAAGATTGTGTCTAATTAAGTACCAAAACAATTAATCTAAATTTATTTGAACTATCAAAAAGGAAGAAAATTTAACTAAAAAATAATAAAAGGAAAATAACAATTAAATTAAATCTAACCAAGATATGAGGTACTAAGACATTGATTTCATCATAATTAATCAATATAAATTCTGGATTAATATGCTAATTTGTTGGGTGTTATTGCATGTGATGATGGATTTCCCTAAATTAATTAACTAGCTTTCTCAAGTGAAGTTAATCCTTGTTTGTTAAATTAATCATATCTCTATGTAATTTTAAACAAACTAATGAATATTAAATTCTATGGAAACCTCTAGTTTAAGAAGGGGGAGCTCTTAACTATCTTCTCTTCCTCCATTACCACATATGAACTAATTACCTTTTGGTCTCATAGTCTAGTACACGGTTTATATTATTATTGGTCTAATTTACACAATTCTTTCTCAAGTTCATGCATAGATCACTAAATCAATTGAAAGGTGATCAGGCTTTCAATGCATTAAGTTCAATAATGTAAACTCCTCATGCAAATAACTCTAATTGAAATCATAAAATTACAAAATCTATATTGAATTAATTAGACTGCATCGTAACCCTAGTAAAATAAATCAGTTCATAATAAAAAAATAAAATCTAAAATCATAGTTAGGAACATAAGAATAATAAAGAAGAATAAAACCCAATTTGAGAAAATTGCAGTCCTTAATCTGCTATTGTTGAATCCTCTCTCTTAATATTCAAGAATGTGCAAAAGAGGGTTGCCACTAGCCTCTACTAAACTCTCTTAATTCTGAATTTGGATGGGTATTTATAGGATTTTAAAAATTCTAATTGGAATAGAAGTGAAATCCACGTCCATAATAACTAATTAAACATGGATTTGGTGAAAATCGCAAAAGGGTCAACACTTTCAACAAGGTGCCGACACTTCTGTTAAGCGCACAATGCCATGGTGTCGGGTTTTTGGCCTTCTTAGCAATTTTTGTAATGGAAAACTAACAGTCTTGGTCCCTGACTTCTGGATCTGCACAAGTTGATCCTCAAGTTTTTGATCTTTGCAATTTACTCCTAAAATTTATGATTTCTTCCACTTAAGTCCTTTCCTACACAAAGAATAAAAATTATGTAAAATCAAGTAAAATCTCATAAAACTCATCCAAATATTAACAATATCAAGATAAAAATTTCACATTCATATCTATATGAATTCAACTCATCATTGCCCATAAGTCTTTTTGTAAATATTGGATTGAGTTCATTCTTTATTCTATAGAAAGTTAAGAGATAGCCCTATCATTTATCTGTTGGACGTTTAGCCCCAGTTAAGTTGTTTTCATGGTGAAACCTGATGTAAGTTTGATTTCCACAGACGAACAGAACTGGCAGCCTGATAAGTTAGTATTTTAGCCATAACTTTCTCTGTAAATATCGAATTAAGGTGATTCTTGATCCTATCAAACGTAAGATATAGGGCTACAATTTATCTGTTGATCACTTAACCTAGATCGGTCAATTTCTGGGCACAAATTCTATTGAAGCTTCCAGTTCAAAATCTAATCAAAACTTTCCCAAAAATTTGTTTTGTTTTCTACTCAATTCCCACATTATTTGCTGTCATATCACATTATGGTTTTAGTAGACTTTTAGCTATTGTTTCCCTACTCTAAAACCCCTTGTTATTGCTTTATTTTGGTTACCTTTTTTGCTGTTGCTTTTCTACCTAAATGCTGTCCATTTTAGCCTAGTTTTGGCTTGTAATCTGCATTGTTTTGCTGCTATCTTTTGCCCAAAAATTTGCTATTGTTTAAGGCTTTTCCCAAGCATTTTGGGGTTGCTTTAAATCACGGAAACCCCCACTTTGTTGCCCGATATTTTTGCTGGTGTCTAGGATGGTTTTGAGCTTGATTTCTCAAATTTTTCCATTTTATTCTACCCAGAAAATATGTTTGGAATACCTACTGTTTAGTGTAACATTTGGAGCTATTTTAAGCATATTCTAAGTATTCATTTGATATGGTATAGGTTCTAGATCACCTAAAGCGCCTTGAGTTCTTAAATTTTTTGCTTGTTGTATATCTACAAAACGAGGTAAGTAAAACTATGGCAACTACCTTTGGATTTTAAGGTAAAGGTTTTAAAAGTATAATTTTGAACTGTTTTTGAAATAGTGGCGAGACCAAACTCGTTTTACACAAAAACAAGCATGATTGGTTTAAAATAAAATTGTTATCATCTATTGATTTGAGCATGCTTACTTAGAGTTTATTGAACTGTTCTAATAACCTGAAATTGGTTTGTAAATTATAGATTTTCTTGTAACTCTTGCATGGTTTAGTCTCCAATATGGTTATGTTTTACTATGACTGCTAGTAGGAGGTTTATAAATGCTAGCTCATGTCGACATGTATTCTTGGAAATTGATTTATCCTATTATTCTTGCCGATGGGATAGTACACTAGTTATTACTGTGCCCACTAGTGAGAGGTTTATAAACGTTGGCCATGACCTATAGAGAAGACGTCTATTTCATTCCCGTATTTGTACTAGTTTTTCTTGATACTTGATTACACTTGTTGGCGTGCTATAACTTTAAATAAGGGCTACCAATATTTTTACTTTCTGAATTATCTCATATAGTTTTCCTCATCCACCATTTTAGGTTACATGATCCGAGATGTGGGAAACCAAGGAGAGTGATGAGCTAGAACGCTAGCCATTTGTATTTTGGACTTGGATTATTTTGGAGTTAGGTCACTAGTTAAATTATATTTGGACATAGAGTTGTATTAAATTTTTGTACACTTTTGGCCTAGTTAAACCTTGGTTATAAAAGTCAAATTTTATTTTGAGATTTTGGATCTTAGTTAATGGACTACTAGATATGAATTAAGTAAGTTTTGAACCTTGTGCATTGTGGGATCTTCTTACAAGTATACAGTGTCTATTTTGCTCCCAATTTTAAGGTGTGACAAATATGCCCTCTTTGGATTGTTTGATTTGAAGTCCCAAGAAAAAGTTAAGCTCGCCCATTATGCTCATCTCAAATTCACCTTGCATAGCTTTGGAAAACTCTTGACAAAGAGAATCATTAGTAACACAATATCTTCACCATAGATTTGGACAATTGGTATATCTTGGCCTTTGTTTTTCACAAACAAGTAGTATCAACTCTTTCTCTAGAAAAACCATTTGCAAGCAAAAAACTATTTAATCTTTCATACCATACTCTAGGAGATTATTTCAAACCATATAAGGCTTTTGAAAGTTTATAAACATGGTTTGGGTAAAATGAATCTTTCAAAATTTGGAGGTTGCATAACATAGACCTTTTCTTGAATATAACCATTTAGAAAAGCACTTTTAACTTCCATTTGGTAAAGCATAAAACATTTAAAACATGTAAAGGCCAATGGCATTCTAATTGCTTTAAGCCTAGCTATCAAGGCAAAAGTCTCATCAAATTCAATTCCTTCCTCTTGACAAAAAGCCCTTAGCAACTAGTCTTGCCTTGTTTCTAACCATAATACCATTCTCATCTAACTTGTTTATAAAAACCCATTTAGTTCCTATGATGGGATGGTCTTTAGGTCTAGAAACAAGATTCCAAACTTTATTTCTTTCAAATTGAGCTAATTCCTCTTGCATAGCCATCACCCAATTAGGATCATTTAAACTATCATCAAGATTCTTTGGTTTAATTTGTGATAGAAAAGCAATAAAAGCACAAGTTTTATAAGCATGAGATCTAGTAGTTACCCCTTGTGATGGATCCACAATACCATGAGATCTAGCAAAACAGATTCACAATTGTGATGGATAGGTCGCACTCTTCGAACAATCTGGATACTGAAGGGCCTCTCGGCCATAGGTACCCGCGAAGCAATTGTGGCCAAGGCATCAGCCAATTGGTTCTCCATCCATGGTATCTGCTCATATCTTATGTTGGCAAAGGACTGCGCCAAGTGTTGGCTGAAAGAACGATATGGCGCAAGATGTTCTTCTCGGACAACAAAGGTACCTTGAACTTAACCAAGGATCAAACCTGAATCGCCCATGATTTTCAAGCATTACACACTAGCTTCTTTAGCCATAGCAAGCCTAATAAGATAAGCTTTGTACTCTGCGATGTTATTCGTGCATTGAAAATCAAGCTTGAATGAAATGCCATATCATGGCCTTTTTCATCTTTAAGAACAATACCAGCCCTAGCCCCAGCCTCTTCAGCCATGGAAGAACCATTGAAATATAATGTCCATTCTTCATCGATTTCGTGTGCAGTAGCAACCTCACCACCTGGGACTTCGTTGGAAATAGGATATTGGACTTCGCCAAAAAATTCAGATAGCAGATCTACAACAGCTTGCCCCTTTATGGTGGTGAAATTAATACATGTGATATCATATTGAGACAATCGAAGGAGCCAATTAGCAAGACGGCTAGTAAGCATGGGCCGTGTTAAAAGGTACCAAATGGGCTGGGACTTGGTGATAAGTTGTATTTTATGAGCCAAGAAATAATGTCGAAGACGCTAAGATACGTAAATTAATGCAAGGCAGATTTTCTCAATGAAAGGGTACCTTGATTCGGTGCCCTTGAGGTTTCGATTGACATAATAAACCAATTGTTCCTTGCCTCCTTGGTCGTCTTGGGCAACCAATGCACTCATAGCTTTGTTAGAAGTGGACAAATAGACTTTAAATGGTCTACCTTGAATGGGGATAGATATGACCAACAATATAAGCATGAGATCCTGTAGATGCAAGAAGGCATTTTGCTGTTTCGTCGTCCACACGAAAGCAGCTCCTTTCTTCAGCAAAGGGCTAAATGCGGATAGTATTTCTGCCAACGATGGGATGAATCTGCAAAGATACAAAACTTTACCAATGAAGCTTCGTAGCTGCTTGAGGTTCTTAGGTGGTTGCATGGCTCGGATAGCTTCAGATTTGGCCAGATCCACACTGATATTGTGTTTACTCACGAGGAATCCTAGGAATTTTCCAATAGAAACATCAAATGCACACTTTGCCGGATTCATTTTCAGCTTGTATAAACGGCATTTGTTGAAGACTTTTCTTAACACAACGAAGTGGCCCAGTCTTGTTTTAGACTTTACCACAATGTCATCAATGTAGACTTCAATATATATATGGATGAAATCATGAAAGATTGCCACCATGACTCTTTGATAAGTAGCCTCAGCATTTTAAGTCCAAAAGGCATAACAACATAGTAAAAATTAACAATAGGGATGCGAAAAGCAGTTTTCTCTTCATCGTTAGGGCACATATTGACTTGGTTCTACCCACTGTTGCCATCCATGAAAGAGTACATCTCACAACCAATGATGTTGTCGATCAGTACATCCATGTTCGGGACAAAGAATTCGTCTTTGGAGCAGGCCTTATTAAGGTCGTGGAAGTCAACACAGCACCTAATGTGCCCATTCTTCTTTCGAACTGGTACAATATTGGCCAGCCAAGTTGACTTCTTTGTTGGCTTGATGAATCTTGCAGCCAAAAACTTCTCAACCTCCTCTTTAATTTGTAGAGTAACCTCTGGATGGAAGGCACGATTTGGCTGCATGATTGGCTTCATATTGGGATTGACATTCAAAGAATGTGCCACCAAAGTTGGATCAAGCCCTGGCATTTCATCATAATTCCAAATGAAGATATCTTTATACTCTTAAAGCAACTTTACCATTTTGGCTTTTTCACTTGTAGAAAGAGTAGTGCTAATATGTACATGCCTAGGATTCGCTGGATCATCTTCAAGATCAACAGCTTCGAGGGGCTCTAAAGAGGTGAGTGCTGGTTGAGCTTCATGAAGAGTTGGTAGCTTGTCTGGCAGTATTAAATGATTAGTTTCGCTAGAAAAATCTAAATGCTCATCAAGTATCTCGTTCCCAGCCTCAAGGGCAAGGCATTCTGCTTTGTTGGAGAGGCCTTGTTCACCAATCAAAGTATCTCTCTCCAAAGTGAAGAATAGATGATCCAAAGACATGGCAACACTACTGGCGATAGGGACCATCTCGTGCATGGCTGAGAGGCCTCATGCACCTTCACAAAGTATATTTGATCCTCCCATCGAGAAGAACAGTTCAAGTGCACCTTGGACGTGCTTGGACAGCCTTTCCTACCTCCTTCTTCTATCTTTTATGCTCCAGGACTCTCCATAGATCAAGAGCAGGCTTATCTTTGATGTCATTCCACGTTGGTAGGGCAATGCCACTTAGGCGAGATATTGTTGCTTTGCTAGAAGGGGTGAATTCATCATAAAAAACAACTTCAATAAGGTGGGTCTTAGTCTGATCAAATGGTAACGGGTTGGCAAGGATGTGGAAAACCTTTCCATTTAGACGGCCTTTGACACATTGATGATAAGTAGAAAGGATAATTTTGTGTCAATGCAGCCATGGTCTTCCCAGCAATATTTAATAAGAAACTTCCGCATCAATGACTTAGAATGTAGTTTGAGATTGGACTAGACCGACCTTTAATTCAAGCTGAACATATATAAAGGCATGCTCACTACTGCTGCTGAAGCCAACAATGCTGAGTGGAGACTTGACGATTCTTCGTTGGGGGATCCCTACAGCGATGATGGTGCTCAACAGTACCAGGTTGAGAGAAGATCTTGTATTGACCAGTGCACGCTTGACACCAATAGAGTTGATCAAAGCAAATAAGTAAAGAGGTTTTCTATGGTCAGGATATGGCACCTTCATATCTTCATCAATGAATGTAACAACATTGGAAGATTCAAGATAAACGTAGCTAGCATGTGCTTCAATGTTGAGGCATTCTTTTTCAGCTTCATTGGCGATGAAGAGTATGGCCTCTATGACTCTTCATCGCGCATTGGTAATGAAGCCAAGCTGTTCAAATAACATTTTGAACTTCGGAGTTCGCTAAAGTGCACGGACAAAGAAGCTGGGCATGTTGTCAGGGAATTCAACTATTGGCTCATTCACTCCAATGCTTTCTACATAAGTGAGAACATTGACGGCACCTTGGTTGTGGCATGGGAGAAGGTCTTCGTCCACCCTCTGTCTTCCTTCAGTACTTCTAACAACCCTTCTGAGACCTATTGATGATACATCCTTCTCAAGGAAAAACAATCCATAGTTGCATGGTGGACAAAGCAATGGTAGCGATAGTACTTGGGGTTGCACTTGTCATCATCGTTGGGTTCGCAATGCGCCTGAGGTAGTGTGATGGCACCGTCAACAATCCACTGATCTAGCAGCACATCAAGTTCTTCATCAGTGAGAGGCATAGGTGGTGGCGGTGCCGTGTCATGATCTCTCCTCTTCTACCCTTGTCCTTGGCCCCTGGCAAAGACAGCCAAGGTGTGAACAGCGGTTTTCTTTTCTATCAACTTTGTTGCAGATTTTCCTATAGAGATGACTTTGACAGAAATGGCTGTTCTCTTGACGGCATCAAGTAGCCTTCCAAACTGGTTGATCCCGATGTTTTTGAGGATAGCGCGAAATATTGGAAACATGTTGTTAATGCAGATTTCCACCAAGAAGGACTCATCATGGCCACCATAGCAGTCAAGTGCCAAATCCCTAAATCTCTTCACATAGGCCATTAAATCTTCCCAAGTGTATTGACGGGTGTTGTGAAGATCAAGGATGGTGATGTGCTTTTCACTTTGAAAATATTTTTAGCAAAATTGTTCCACCATTTCGTCCCAAGAACGGACAGAGCCGAGAGGTAGAGTGGTGTACCATGTATAAGCTTTATCGGAGAGAGACTTTGAGAACTCACGTAGACACAAATCTCTATCACTGGCGTGAGCCCTTATGGCATCAAGGAATTTGCTAACGTGCTCCATAGCGCTGCCTTTTCTTCCATCATACTGCAAGAAGGCAAGACTTTCGTATTTCTTTGGGTATGGTCTGGATAAAATCTCCTTTGGATAAGGTGGGTCACGGACGAATTGAAAAAGGGTTCTTCGTGTTTGAAACGTTCCTTGTCCAAGAAAGTAGTAAGATCTGCCATGGTGGCATAACATTGCGTAGAATCAGTTGCATTAGGTGGAGCTCTGTCGGTACTAGTAGCTGCAACTATTGATGGTGTCGAAGTGTTCGATCGTGCAACAGAACCTGCATTACCATCAGTAGCCCCAGTATGGACTTCATGTGGTAGAGAAGTACCAGCCGTATTGATGGGTTGTGTGGATCCTACACAGCATGTTGGGTTTGTACATTGCTAAGAAGCTGAGTGGTCTTTTGCTAGTCTTCGTGTAGGACCTGAATAACTTGAACTAGGGATGCAAGGTTGGGATCAATGATTCCTTGCAAGATGTCATGAAAAACATCTGTTGATGGGCGCGGCTGTTGAACCTCCCACCCATCATCCTGGCTAGGCTCATGATTACCATCAACGATGTGGGACGAGGTTGCCCTTGTGACAGGCATGGCCAGAAAAATTCTGTTGAAGACAAATAAATAGTACTGAGGGAAAACACTGGAGATATTATGTTGTTAAAGAAGAGCGAAACAAGATGCAACTCTAAGATGACCTCCCCACTGGAGTCGCCAATTTGTTCAGGTGTGTTGGTGTTGTAGATGGATGAGTCAGCAATAATGATGACGCGGAAGCTGATTAGGATGCCACCCGAGAACATGGGGGGGTTATTTCGGCGGCACCTGTCTCACGTGCAAAAGGCTACGTGCTACGAGCCATCCCGTTCTGTTGGGTGATGATATCTCACAATGCACTTTCCAACAAGAACTTTAAAAAAGAAATGAATCTTTTGGCCAAGCCGATAGAGTTGGGCAACGATGGTGGGATTTTGGGGGTTCAAGATGATTACACAACTACCAAAAACATGACGAGGAGAAGTTGTGCATTGTTAAAGAAGGGCAATAGAGGTTTGAAATACATATGGTTCGAAATCACAACTTGAGAATCACACTTATACATAAATCATCGTAACATAATAATAATGACAGTAAAAGCGACCTCTTTCATCCCTAGAGCTAGAAAATACTTTGCAGAGCTGAAGACTTTGGAAACCCGAGAGAAATGGTGGCTTATGGGTGATTCCTACATGCAAAGCAATGGGCGAAGATGGGATCCATTTTATTTTTGGAGGAGAAAATGAGAGTTTTGGTGTGCAAGTCTGTTGCTGTGCAGCATGCATCTTTCCTTTTTCTGTGTCTGTGTGTTCTTGAAAATGAAGAGCCGATAATTTCTATATATATGCAGTGGTATTACTGTAATTTTTGGTTGATAGCTTAGAGATGTGTAAAAAGGTTAGGGTGAGCTATCAAATTTTTAGTGGTTCCAAGCACTGCTGACAGCTTTGTGATTGTGGCATTATGAATTGCCCAATGGTCCCAGCGAAGTTTTGCTGGTTCTGGCGAAGAAATTGGTAATTGTATATTTTTGGCAATGTCCCCAGTCATACGAAATCCCATCTTTGGAGAGGTGCTTGAGTGCAGCCAGCAAAAACATCTACATAGGATTTGGTGAGTTCCCTAGGTTCTGCACAAGATTTTGGAAGATTCTGCCAGTAAATAACAATCTTTTACACCAGTTTCCAAGGCCAAGGAACTTGTGTAGCCACCCTTGCATTAAATATGGATGCAAGTGGCTGATGGTGACCAAGACAACACCTTTGGTTAGCTTTTGGTGGGATTTCCAGTCTTTGGTTAGCATCTAATTGCACTATTCCAGGAATCAAGTTCATTTCCATGCTTATGCCACCCAGCCTCTTTCTGACGAAGTCGGGCAGCACCGCTAGTGCCAAGCTTCGTGGTGCGTATGCCTTGCTTCGCTAGACGAGCAGCGCTCGTCTACCCATGCCTACCAAGCCACTACTCCCATAATTTATCCCAAATAATCCCCATGAGCTTGGATTCATAGGCTTGTGTTTATCAACAATAACAATGAGGAATGCGTGAATGTATGTTCCGATTTTTAAGAATAAGAAACGCATGGGCATATGCAGCGAAGAAGGAAACTCCCTCATATGTTGAAGGGGACTATGTGAATGAACATTTGCTACTTTGGCCATGGCCGGCATCGGTACATTGCTGTCGTGCATGGTTGGCGTTGCACTAAAATGAGGAATAAGTGATATAGGTGTGCACCGCGATATCATTGTCTCGAGCCAAGCTTTGTTGGCCGACGATACCTACCGACATGTAACATATAGAAAATATGTGTTATGAGTCAAGATTATCGGCAATCGGTACTTTTGTCCCTTTGTATAGAAGAGTGGCTACGTGCATGACCTCCGGCCATGTTATGTATGTATTGCGGGGTCAGCCATGCATAGCTTCCCCATAGCCAAAGGGACAACAATGGCTAGTTTTGCCCATGGTGAAGCGTGAACTACATGGAATTGAAAGAGCACTCCCACTAATTCGCCAAGTTGCAAAAGGGTAAATCTCGTTAGACCAGACTCCGCCATAGCGATGAATATGTATAAAGAAAGGTGGAGTTGTCTCCATGAAAGAGGAACGCCAGCCGCATCCATGGCCTCTAATACGATAAGGTGTGATACCACTGACAAACATTGGCCCTTCTTGTCGTACTCGCACCGTCAGAGGGTGGTTGTAGTTGTTGTTACTCACCATGCAAGAGCCGCCACCAAGGGACCACTGGCTGCTACTTGATGGATTTTTATCGTTGGAGGGTAGCCATCCCATCCCATCACAAGGTTGCAACTGTTATTGACCTCACACTAATCATATCGAGTTACGCTGACTCTTTGTCCATTTCTGGGAGCCAGTGAGATAGAATATGTAGAAATCCAACCCTTTGTCCGTTATCGAGAGTCGATGAAATGAAGATATGTAGAAATGTGTAGCCTTTTGTCCATTGCTGGAAGCTAAATAAGATAGTAAATCTGACTCTTTATCCATCGTTAAGGGCTTTGTAGATATAATAAGATCAACCCGTTATCCATTGATGGGAGCCATGCAGCAAAATAGGCTCTTTATCCATTGTTGGGAGCTAAAATATGTAGCAGCAAACATCGATGCGAGGAACATGACTGTCAAAAATGCCCAACCATGTTGCACAGATAATGTGGCCATGTCTGGCCATGTGTAATGGAATGCTACTGAAATAGAACATGTTTGTATCATTTCCAATGAAGTGGGTAAATTCCACTCCTGGCGATGTACAAGAGAATAATGTCAGGCGCTGTTGCTGGCGATGTCGACTCCTTTGCAGCAATTAATAGAAAATAAGAACTACATGTCCAGTATGGAAAATGAGTGCTGTGGGCTCTTGCTGATGTGGATCTGCACACGTCATTGGTGATGTAACCATATAAACTCATCCCTCAACAGTATCTAAGCAAGATGCCTTCATCACTTTTAGAATCAAATTTTCCAAGAGAATCCTTTCCATTGTTCAAAACAAAGCATTGGCAACCAAAAGCTCTAAAGTAGGAAATCTTGGGTTTTCTTCCTTTGTAAATCTCATAAGGGGTTTTTGTTAAGAATAGGCCTCACCAAAACTCTATTCAACAAATAAGAAAAGGTTGAAATGACTTTAGCCCAAAAGGATTTTGGCAAATCATTCTCACAAAGCATAGTCCTTGGCATTTTCTCAATGGTATAATCTTTTCGTTCAACCACCCCATTTTGTTGAGGTGTTCTAGGAGCCGAAAAGTTTTGACCAATACCATGTTCAATGCAAAAATCTTCAAAATCATTATTTTCAAATTCTCCCCCATGATCACTTCTAATAGAAACAATAGGTAAACTTTTCTCATTTTGAAGTTTTTTATAAAGACTTTTGAAAGCATCAAGTGCATCTTTCTTATGTGCAAGAAAAGCAACCCATGTAAATCTAGAATAGTCATCAACCACAACAAGCACATATGATTTCCCTCCAATGCTTAGAATGCACATAGGTCGAAACAAATCGGGTTAATTTAACAAATCATCTATTAACTTTTATATTCTTTTCAGTTTCATCTATTATCTTTGAATTTTTTCAATCTTGTCTACTAATTTTCACATTTATTTCAATTTCATCTAGTCTATTATATTTAACCAAAATATCCGTTATCTTTTACAGAATCTTCTTACTTTTTAACAAAATATTTAATCCTCTAACTATATTTCTTTTGATCTTTTAGTCATTAAATTTATATTCATCATAAAAATAGTTTTTAATCTTATCTTGTTAAATGTGTTCTTCAGAAAACTGTTTTATAGAGTAGACTGTATGTAGTCTGTCCTATAAAATTATTTAAATACCTTTAATTTTATTTTTATATTATTTTTTAGGAACATTTAAATAATTTTTTAAGACAGACTGCATACAATCTGTCATGTGAAACAGACTAGTTACTCACATTTATTATAAATTTTAACTAATCTATCTCTATAAAATATGTCTTGAGTCATTATATTTTATTAGGATTATAATGTCACTTTTTTAAAACTTAAAGGACTACTCTTTTAGTTAAATCTAACAAAATTTTGTACTGGTAGACTATTTTGAAATATTTCCAAAGTTTATAGACCATTTAGAAAGAAACTAAACTTTCTAGACTAAAATGAAATCAAGCTGATAGTTAATAGACAAAAAATTGAATTAAGCCAAACAAATTCATATGAAGTAACTTAAGAGGTTTGTTTGTAGATATGCACTTCTTAGCCTTAAAAGAAACTCTAGTTTGCTTACCCTTCATGCATGCATCACACATGCCATCAACATTCACATTCATCTTATGCAAGCCATCAACAAGATCATGCTTTAATAACTTAGAGATAACACTTTTGCTAGCATATCCTAATCTTCTATGCCACAACCAAGTATCATCATGAGATATAGAAGCAAGACAAATATTGGCATCTATGTCATCCAAATCAATCACATGTACATTTTTAAGCCAGCAAACAAACAACACTTTATCATTTCTAGAATCAATAATCTTGCAATGAGATTTAGAAAACACAAACCTAAGCATATGATCACATAATTGACTAATATTAAGTAAGTTATGTTTCAATCCATCCACACACCAAACATCATCAAAAGATATAGATTTGTTATCAATTTTACCAATTCCTTTCACAATTACTTTCCCATTGTCACCAAAGGTCACGGTTCCACCATCCAAGGGCATGAGTGATGAGAATTGTGAAGGATCACTTGTCATGTGCCTTGAGCATCCACTATCTAGATACCATTTGTTCTTCATTTTGCTCACAAGGCACACCTACACAACAAAAATCAATTTTTGATCT